CCTCCCTTTAATCTCTCCTCAAATGCCCACGCCCTTTTTCCCGCCTTCACCCTTAGCTTCTCCCTTTGTAATTCTACCCTTACTATGTACCCCGGCGTCCCTCTCTCTATCCCTAACACCCATCATAAGTACCTCTCCTGCAATCTCTCCACAGTCTCCCTCTTCTTCCAGCCCCAAATCTCCGCCCCTAACTCAACATTGCCCAAATCAACTTATCAAATAGCCATATCCTCCTCTTCCAATCTTTCCCAAACCTTCTTTTTCCTATCCCCCACACCTGCCCCATCAATGCCACCTCCTTCGCTACTCTTTCTTTAATATGTTCCTCCTGCCCCCATTCCTCTGCATTGTATACTTGAACCTCTTTACTTCCTCTATTTTCTTCCCCTTCCATCTCCAATTCACCTTACTGCTTCTTCCCCCCTCCCCTTTCCTAAACCTTACTATTTTTGTCTTCTCCTTATTAACCTCCAAATCCTTCCGATCCACATATACCTTCAACCTCTCTATCATACTCCTCATACTCCCCTCATCCACTCCGCCAATAGCACCACATCATCCGCATACGCTAACCCAAATATTCTCTTATCCGCTACCTTCCCCCCCCCCCATTTAACCTTTCCCATCTCCCCTTCCAAATCTGCCGTCATAATGTTAAATAATAACGGACTCAGCGGGCACCTCTGCCTTACCCCCCTCGCCGTCCAAAAACTTCCTCCAACATTCCCTACCCTGCTCTGACTCTACTCTTTGTTTCCCACATTATCTCCCCCACCCTCTCTACCAGCCCTTCCCTTACCCCCCTCCGCCTCAACTCATCCAACAAAACCCCCCTATCCACCGAATCAAACGCCGCATTCAAATCAATAAACAATGCAATTAATTTCCCCCCTTTTTTCCTCATCTGCCTATTTACCAAAAAGTTCAAAACATAAATATTGTCCATAGTCCCCAACCCTTTCCTAAAGCCCGTTTAATTCGGTAGAATTAATTCTTTCCCCTCCATTTCCTCCCGTAACCTTTACGCAAGCGCCGCCGCATACACTTTGTACAAAGTCGGCATTATTGACACTCCCCTATAATCCCTTACCTCCTTCCTTGCCCCTTTTTTCTTACTGGCACCACCACTCCCTCCTTCCAGTCCTCTGGCCACCCCTCCCCCATTCAAACCTCATTACACACCTTCCAGACCCCATTCCTCCATCCCCTCTCCCCCATATTTCCATTCCTCATTCGGAATTCCATCTATCCCCATTGCCTTACCGTCCTTCAAATTTCTCGTCACGCTCCTTATTTCCTCCATCTTTCTTCCATCTTTCGGGCAGCATGCAAATCCCGCGACGAAAAAATTGGTCATCTTTTGAAGCGATCCACGAAACGATCCAATTTTTTACTTCTTCATAAGACCGGAAGTGCTGGTCAGCCAGGCCGTGTGCCATTGATCGAAACAAGTGATAGTCAGAGGGAGAAACGTCTGGAAAATACGGCGGGTGAGGTAGGACTTCCCATTTCAACGTTTCCAAGTATGTTTTGACCACTTTCGCAACATGGGGTCAAACGTTGTCATACTGCAAAATCACTTTATCGTGTTTCTCGTTGCGGCCGTTTGTCTTTCAATGCTCAGCTCGAATGCATCAATTGCGTTCGATACCGATCGCCTGTGATTGTTTCAGTCGATTTTAACAGCTCATAATACACTACGTCGAGCTGGTCCCACCAAATACAGAGCATAACCTTGGAACCGTGAATATTCGGTTTGACCGTCGACGTGGAAGCATGGCCGGGAACTCCCCATGATTTTCTGCGCTTGGAGTTATCGTAATGAACCCATTTTTCGTCCCCAGTCGCAATGCGATGCAGAAATCCCTTCCGTCTTTGTCTTTCAAGCAACTGTCCACAAGCAAACAAACGCCGTTCAACATCTCTCGGCTTCAACTCGTACGGCACCCAACTTCCTTGCTTCTGAATCATTCCCATGGCTTTGAGGCGTTTTGAAATGGCTTGTTGAGTCACTCCCAATGATCGTGCCAATTCTTCTTGATTTTGACACGAGTCTTGATCAAGTAATGCCTCCAATTCTGCATCTTCGAAAACCTTCTCTCTTCTATTGCTATGCCGGTCTTCGACGTCAATATCACCGTTCTGGAAGCGTTGAAACCACTCACGACACGTTCTTTCACTAATAGCAGCCTCATCATAAGTATTTGAGAGCATTCGATGAGCCTCAGCCGCAGATTTCTTCATATTAAAGCAGAAAATTAAAACCTCCCGCAAATGACGAGAATTTGGCTGGTAAACTGACATTTTCAATCGAGAATAACTTTATGATGCAAACACAAATCAACTAATGTTTCTATGGGGTTATGTTGACAGATGCCCAAGTTTATTGTATGACGTCTATGATCTATTTATTTCGACCATCACTTACCGCTAAAGCCATCTATAGAAAAACGGCGGAAGTAAAGTTGTACACCTATTATATAAAAAGAATTGTTTATATTAATTACACAATATAAAAATTAGTAAAGGGTTCAAAAAAGGTTTCATTTATTCCTCCTTTTTAAACAATAATTATATTACTATATTGTTATTTCGTTTAAAGTAACCTAACTTCAAAAATTAAATTTTAATTTAATATAAATAATGCTTTTGAGAATTAATTTAACTCCAGTGAATTTCACACTTTAACGCAACTAAATTAATTTTATAAGATTATTAATTTTAACTGAATTTATAGAAAACATGTAGTAGAAAAGGGCTAATAAGAGTCAAACAAAAGAATTCTTCATAATTAGATCACCACAAATGTATTAAATACATAAGTATATACTGTAACCGTACTCGCGAGCAACGGCACAACTTCGTCGCGTGTTCTTCGTACTCCTCTTACGCAAAAGTATCTCCTTTCTTTCGGTAACTGAATTTTGCGACAGCCAGGCGGTTTTTCGGCCAAGATTATAATTCTTATTACTAAGTTGGGCGCCAGGCACGAGAGAACGTGCCACTCTTTCCGAAATCTTCTTTCTTTTGCTCGTAACCAATTCGCGACGGCAGGGGTGGGTTGCAAGAGGTGTGGGAAATTTGTCGGAGGGCGCGAGATGTAGGCCACAAAAATAAACTACGCGAGAGTGTAATAATAAGAGCAATTATATTTGAAGAAATATGATAAAGTATGACTAATTACATTGGTGACGTAATTACAAGTAGTTTCCGGAGCTTCGCTCCTCCACTCTATTCGATACTCTCGGTACTTGCACAGAGAGCCGCTAACTTATTTCTAACGCCGGACGCCGGTCCTACGCTATAGCATGAGCCCCGACCTTCCCCGCGGTATCCTCCGACGATGTCAAACACCCGCCCCTCGACAACTGGCAAGAACCCATACCCGCTGTACTACCAGCTTTCCGGACGTGTAACGACGGCCCGCGGCCGACGCCACGGCGATGGTGCGATGCGATTATAGCGAACGCCTCTATGCGACATGACTCTACTCGACAACGTGAATCCCGGAAACGGACTCTACTCGGTAACACCGCAACCGGAAGTTAGCTCGGCAACGCAACAATACGCGTTCCGAGGCGACAGCACAATGCTCGGCGACACAATTACAGCGAGCGTGCCTACGCGACGCGGTACTAAACGATAACGCAACTACAATAAATATCTTTACGCGACACGACGAGACTCGACAACGCGACTACTCTACGCGTTTCTACGCGACTCTACTCGGAAATCGGAAGTGACTCCCCTGTGGCGAGAGGAACGAGCGCGACTCGACAATGAATATTCTTCCCCTTACTCTGACTCTCGAAATGCGACAGCTAATTATTTCCAAGGCTCGGGAGGATGGCACGTAGCTCGCAGTTTCGCGGCTCTACACGGCGGCCATTACGCCGCTCTCTCGTTACGATGCGAGCTGGCTTACGTGCGATCCACCCGTCGACGTACCCCAATCGGCAGCTTTACAAGTGCAGCGCTCGTCTCACCCTCGTTGTCTCCTTCACGTCACGTCCTCTCGGCACGCTTTCGTCCTCTCGGTCTCGGGCTTCCCGGCTGCGAACTCGCACTTCCTTCACAATTCTCACGGCTCGCTCGTCTACAGCAAGAGTGAGGACCGGGAGCTCCCGGCGGATTCTCGCAGCTGCTTAGCTTCCCCCCTCCTTCGGGGGGAGGTAGTCACGCTGATTGGCTTCCGCGTGTCACGGTATCCGCTCGTGCCGTGCAGGCCCGCGCGGCCTTGGGTCCTGGCTCGTACGAGCGCACAATAGAGGTTCCTGTCAAGGGTGGCGTCTCACGGCCCCCGCACTTCCTGACCTGGCGAAGGAGATCGGGATGGATTTCCCTCTCGCTCCCCGTCGGGGCCCTATGCTCCCGGACGTCCGTCCGGCCCCTCAAGGGTGGCCGGGAATTCTGGCCTCCTCCGGTGCTCTGCAAGGGGTGCATGGTGAAAGTATGGAACAGCGGTTACGAGCAATGATATAAAATAATATAACCTGCTTATCCGGGCTCCCGATGCGCGTCCTTCTCTCTTAGCTTCTTCGACCTTCCTTCCAATCCTGTCCTTCTTCTGTTTTCCTTCCAAAGGTGGCAGGCGAGCGTGATCCGTGGCGCGTCTGATCTACGCGCTTTCTGATACGCTTTATCATTACGCAAAAGAAATGCTAATATAAAAGAGGAAAATCTGTCGAGTAAAATAAATGACATGAGTTTTAACGCACGTTTGCAGGTGCGCTTGCACGCGCGCTCGCGTGCGCATTCGCTTACGCGCTCGCCCTTCGAGCCGGTAGGAAGCGCGAGTCCGCCGTCGACAAGTCCGCACAGTGACGCACAAAATAATGTCACGTCACAATACAAAATATAAATTACGAAGCTCCAATATAAGAAAAAATCTTTAACGTTACGAAATACAAAGTATTACATGTTTCGGCCTTGTATTTAGACCCTTTTCAGATATACAAAATTATAACGCAGTAAATCCATAAAATTTAAGCGTTATAATTTCGTATATCTGAAGAAATACAAGGCCGAAACATGTAATACTTTGTATTCCGTAACGTTAAAGATTTTTTCTTATGTTGGAGCTTCGTAATTTATATTTTGTATATATTTTTATATTTAATACATTTGTGGTGAACTAATTATGAAGAATTCTTTTGTTTGACTTTTATTAGCCTTTTTTTATTACATTGTATCTTGAATATTAAGAGTCCTGTAAATTTTACTATTTAAAAAAAAACTAACTCACTTAATCATACGATATCTTTGTATATTATTAAAATATGTAATTTATAATTATTTTGCAGGATGTGCGTGTATTTCTTGATGGAGCAGAGAATGGAGCTATCATAATATCCTTAGGAACAAATGTAAAATGGAAATCAATTGGATTAAACAAGATTGAAACCGTTATACTAGCTCTATCCAAATTGAAACAACGAGTACTATGGAAGACTTGATATTGAAATGCCATTTGAAATACCAAATAATATAATGACTGTGAAATGGATACTGCAAAAGGAAGTTTTATGTACGTTTCTTAATATTAAGAAAAATACGAAAAACGTAATTTGACATATATCTTTTGTATACATACTGTACACAATTAATTTTTATTTAATTAACTTTTGAAATAAAAATAAAAACATCAATCTAGCTGACTTTACAAAGTTGATTGTAATATTACTTTTTAAAAAATAGCATTGGATAGAATGAGATTATTGTTGCAAGAATGTACTTTCAACAATTTATTCAGTGTTATTAAAAATATTTAAATTATTCCACCATTTTAATAAGATATTACGAATAAGTAATCAACATGAAAACATTGCGCATATAAATGTTTTATGAATTAAACGATTCTTATTATGAAATTCCACTTTAAATTATAAATGTGATGTCGCAAAATATTAGTTTTTTGTACAATGAAATTTATCTGATTATTTCGCAGTAAAATCTAAATAATTTCGTTTTCTTTCACATTCCTTTTATATCTACAGACAATTTTAATTTTTAATAATAATGAATTATTCAAAGGCTGCAATATTTAACAAATAAATTAAGGAAAAATTGCCAATGGGAATCAACACAAGATGTTTTTTTGTGAAAATAATTGTCATATATTATAAATCATAAGTATAAATTACAGATGTTTTGACATCATTATTACGTTCTCTTCAAATGTAGAAATAACATATACAACGTCTGTAATTTATACTTATGATTTATAATATATGACAGTTATTTTCACAAAAAAACAACTTGTATTGGTTCACATTAGCAATTTTTCCTTAATTTAGTTTTTAATTTTGTAATTATATTTTATAATAATCTTTTTAGAATAACACACTTTTATTATAATAAGAAACTTTTTCCTTTAAATATATAAAACGAGAAAAGTTTCCAAGAATTAAATCATATAAATGTTAAAATTGAGCCGACATAAACCCATACAAGATGTATGTGTGTATATGTATAAAATTATTAATTATACTAAAGTGGAGTTTGACTCTAATTTTTGGTCATTATCAGTACCTAACTGACGAATTAACAAATAAAGCATTACAATAAGTTTTATTAATTCTGTTCTTTAAATGATTGACAACATTGTTAATTAAAAAGTGCATTGTATTAATTTAATTGAGATAAACAACTAAGAGTCAATACGTGGTTAAAATTAAAAACAAAGATTATTTGAAAGGCATACACCACAACGCAAGATGTTGGTAGCTATTATTTAATATTTCCATCGAATTTACATTAATAAACGTTTCGGTCATAAATTAGACCATCTTCAGTATTACAATACTTTTCCCTATCACTTATGCATACATATATCTTCGAACAAAAAACACAAATTTGAGTTTATTACGCTTTATATCTTGTAAAATTAATCACGAAAAAACGCTCGTTTATAACTAAAATATATTTTCTCAGGACGTTGACATAACATCTTTACTAGTTGAATTGTTATAACAATTTATCCACGTCTTAAGAATATTCATTGGAATTTCATTGTAACACAGAATCAGGAAACTTTGTGTTCGATAACTAAAGACGAATCGTGGATTATCTGACTAAGCGTAATAATAGACAAATTCCTCTAGAGGAATTTTTAATTATTATCCTGAGAAAATATATTTTAGTTATAAACGAGCGTTTTTTCGTGATTAATTTTACAAGATATAAAGCGTAATAAACTCAAATTTGTGTTTTTTGGTCGAAGATATATGTATGCGTAAGTGATAGGGAAAAGTATTTTAATACTGAAGATGGTCTAATTTATGACCGAAACGTTTATTAATGTTAATTCGATGGAAATATTAAATAATAGCTACCAACATCTTGCGTTGTAGTGTACTTTCAAATAATTCTTTGTTTTTAATTGAGATATTACAAAATGTCTATATCAATGTGACATTTACATTATAATAATCGAGATTTAAAATTTATCATAAAAAATTGTTATTTAGCTCATAAAAATGTGAGAGCAGTTTGGACTCATGGTGGTCTTCTCAGCACACAGGAAGCCATTTGGAAAGGTGTACCAATGATCGTAATGCCTTTTTTTATGGATCAAAAGTCTAATACACAGATATTAGTAGCTAAAGGCGTTGGCATATATTTGGACATTAAAACTTTATCCACGCAGACTATATCACACGCAGTTAAAGAAATACTTTACAATGAAAGGTATCAAATTTGGATTATATCTTTATATTATAATTATTTTAAGCAGTTAATTAATAACATAATCAAAGAATATAATATTGGAAATAATATCTAAATCAAGATTTGGAAGAAACGTGTTACTTGTAACGTCGTTATCGTTATTATTAGCTTTTTTTGGTAATGATTACTTTTTCTATCTAGTAACGGTAATGTTATTATATTTTTACAATAACGGTAACGAATTTAACTGTTACTTTTATCGTTACTTTAATCCCTTATTATTTTTATATGGTATGTATATTATCTTTCAATGGATCGCATTACTTTATTGGAATACATTTTTAATAATGATTTGAAGACAATGTTTAATACAATTTTTTAAAAATCTGTTTGCTTATAAGTTCAATCTAAATTCTTAAAGATAAATATGTTTCAAAGAATAAAATTTTTATTAGATAGGTTTAATACAAAGAAAATCATTTCATTTAAAGATTAGCTTAAAGTTTTAAGTTTTAATCTTGATAGATAAATTATAAATATTGAGTATTAAGTAGTTATCATTAAATAATTTTTTAATCTGATCTCTCATTTTAACATTACAAAATAATAACAAAAAAGTAATGAATTATTACTTTGTACGTAACGAATGGTAACGTAACGCGTTATTCTTATAAAATTATGTTTCCAAATCTTATACAAACTAATACAAAGTAGTATACGGAGTATCCCATAATAACCGTACAATCTTTTTAAAATAAGAGGAAGTAATTTTTATAAAAAATCCCAAACATTTTGATAAGTAGATGGAGTTTTAAAAGAGTTATATGGGTGATTTGGAAAATCTTCTATTTAATTAAAAAATTTCTGTAAAAAATTAAATCATTAAATTTGATTTTTTTAAATGTATATTCTTATACTCTTTTTTTTTCAATTAAGTTATATAAGTTGTATTATTAATAAGAAAACATTTTTGGTGCAGTTATACAAAAAACATGAAACAATTATCTAGTAAATTCCGAGATCGACCGATACTGCCGTTAGATTTAGCTGTTTGGGGCATTGAATATGCTGTCCGTCATCCAAACGGGACTTTAGTAACATCGCTTAAATTCCAGAGCCTGATAGAACAAAATCTAATCGATGTCTATGCATTTTTATTCTTTAATCTTATCATGATATTATTAAGTGTATTTTTCACGATAAAGATACTTATTAATTTTTATTATAATTATATATATATCACATCTAACAATAAATTACATAAGAACAAACAGGCGTAAGCCGTTGAAATCTCAACTGCAGACGTGTATGTGCAGTCATTGCAATTAATATAATATTATTTGTACTATAATATTATTGCAATTAACTTATTATTATAGTTAATTTACTTTATTTTTAGAAAGTAAAATTAATGAATAAGTATAAAAATAAAATACTGATTGCACAAATGTTGTAATCGGTACTGTATGTTGTTATGTATAAATATATAATATTAAAAATATTGTAAATATTGATAATTTGACTCATCGTATCTCCGAAACTGTTCATGTACCAGGTATGTAAATATGAAACCGGAATTTTTTATTAGAAAATACACGTTTATTGCATGAAAATGATAAAAATATTTTATTCGAAGTATTGCCCATCGCTAGCTATACTCGTACATTTTTCCCAACTGTCTGACAATTTGTGGATGCCACGACAAAAAAATTGTTACTCTTTTGAGTCAAACCAGTCAT